ATAGAGATCCACTGAAAACGCGTCTTACGAAAAACGACTCTCAAAGCGAGTTATGTGGCTTAGTGATAAAATATTTTCCATTTTTGAACTATTAGTCTTAGTCTTTAAATTTAGCAAGATAATTTATTTTAATGAGTATAGATCCCCTAAAAGTGCTCAATAGGTGACATATCCGGCAAATTAGCAGGCAAAGGAAGAAGTTGCATGCGTTGGGCTGAACAGAAGTCTCGCACAGTCTTTGCAACATGTTGGAGTGCCTTATCCTGCTGAAGAATAACTCCAGGGACGCATTGAAGGAAGGGAACGACTTCGAGCTGTATCACTTCATGAACATACCTGTTGCTATTGAGATTACCCTCAAATCATAATAAATTGGATCGTCCATGATACGAAATCGCACCCCAAACCATAACCCCGGTTGTTAGGCCACTATATGGTTCGATAACGCTCTCCGGAAGTCAGCGTTCACCGGCATAGCGTCTAACACGAATGCGACCATCATGGTCCCACAAATTGAAGCGTTATTTATCTGAGAAGACAACTTGGTGCTAATCAGCTTACCATTCTCTGTACGCATGAGCCCATTGCAGACGAAGCCGTTGATGGTTTGCCGTGAGGGGGATCCTGTATAAATGCACCCTTGCACGCAATCCACGGTGTATCAGACGTCGACAAATTGACGAAGCCAATATTAGTACACCCGTAGCAGAAGACCAACTTGCTGTCAACTGCCTGGAGGAAGCTGTACAGTCATTCACCGCCATGCGGAGCAGGTGTCGATCGTCGCGCGCTGACTTCATCTTCCGTCGTCCACTGCCAGTTTTTCAATTTGTTCGGGGCTCGTCGGTCCATTGCTTCCAAACTCGCATCACTGTGGCACTGTTCCACTGGACACGAGCTCCTATTGAGCGATAGGAACATCCTCCTTCTCGAAGGCCGAAAATCCTACCCCGTTCAAACTCCGTAAGTTGTTGGAATTTCTCCTTATTTCGTCGTGGAGGCATACTTAGGTCTCACTAAACGTTCGCCACTAATAAATAATCATTGACTATTTTCAACGTCCCGCTACAACCCTCTATTTATACGGTTTCAGCAACAGTTGAGAGGTTGCTGCACACGCCACGCATGCGCAGTGGCTCTGAAACTTTACTTTTTTACGTAACATCCTATAGTTGATATTTGCTGCAAAGTTCATTTAATTCTGAGGATTCCTTCATGGTGTTGCATTTTTTACAAACAGCAGTGTATAAAGCATCAAGAGCATTGGTCATTGAAATGATTTTCTTTACACACATTCGATCCATTAAAAATTAATTTAGTACTATATATGATTTCCTTGGTTTAGCATAGCATAAATAAAAGATCACTTGGCCGGAAAACTTTTGTCCGTTATAGATTAACTGAAGATGTTAAAAAGTTCGAAGATATCCCCTCACAGTAATTTCTACAATTAGAACGGTTTTCAACTGTAGGGTTTTAAATAAATAAAGGCTCCATTTAAAATATTTTCAAATGTATTTAAAGGAAAATTTTTATTTAGAAATATTGCCGTAATATGAAAATTCGCCTTATCCCTTTTCAAAAACAGGATGATTTTTTAAGACAAGCGTAAAATAAGTACATAAACAGAACTTGTTTATGAAAAGAGTTATATCAAATAAATCGTTAAACAAGAAACTATTAATAGAAGTTATTAAAAAGTCAGAAATCACAAAAAATAATCTGAAAAGTTGAATAAATCGGCCAACAAAAGCTGAGAGTGCATTTTTAGAAGTGAAAGATATACTCAGTATGAAGTTAAAAAAGGAATAAATAATTTTTGAAGTGAGGCAAAATGTTAGTATCTAATGGAATATATATATACATGCTAAGACTTTACATATACTGTAAAAAAAATGTGTGTGTTCTTATGTACGCACATAAGAAGTTATACTTCTTTGGCGTAACAAGATTAAAACATTTCTAAAAATCTTGAGCAGAGCAAGCTTGGACAAGTTACGAAAGACGGTCACGAGCAGAGTTGAAACGATACTAACCTTCAATCAATCGGACCAGCCAAACCCGAGATAATTATGATTTAAATAAATTTAAACACTCCCGCACATGTACAATAGTGCCAACAACAGGGGGGTTCGGCAGACTGTACCTGGAGATGAGTTGAACCGAATGTGACACCTGAGACCTCACATTGGATGTCTCGGCGGGAAGAATCGTTCCTGAGAAAATTAAGACATCTGCCTGAAAAGTCCCCGAATTATGGTCATTTTAAAATAATTAAAACATTTAAAACACAATTAAATAAAATAGAAACAGGGCACCCAGCAATTCGAAACTATGCCTGGTTGTGAGGAAGCACAAAAGGAATCCATTCGATCCGGTCCAGAATCTGTAGTTGCAAATGGGGCAGTCCTAGCTCGGGAAAAGGAAAAAAAACTAACTGTTCCCGGGAGTTACGACTGTGACGTTAACGGTCAAGTACATACCAGCAATATACAGAGTAGTAAGTGATCCCAAAGTTTCATCCTTCTACCTCTGTAATATCATTACGTCATCATTAGATTGAACCCCATAGAAATAACATGGGGATTCTAATTTTAGTGATAACGCCCCCTAAGCCCACTGCCTACACACGAATTATAATACATAAAACAACTCAACAAGGAGAGCCTAGGGTCCTAGTTTCATTAACGAATCTCAAAAATCCTCGGAGCTATGCGGGATTTAAAAAAAGTTATAACTTTAAAATAATTTTAAAATGTTAAATATAGGTGAAGAAATAGAGCTATGGTCCTGAAAAAATATGTCTAAGGTGCTCATAGGAAGAACAATCGAATCCAGCTGGTGCGGTCGACCAAGGTGGCATAGGATTCAAGTTATTTCTGGGAAAGCCCTGTAGGGGGGGAGCCAATTCCACGTAAAGCTCGCGCTAATACGAAAACATGGTGGACCACCAAAAATCAAGTCCCAAGCTCAAATTCTTAGGGGGGGTGAAATTTTTTCCAGTCCCCATAGAATTAACATGGGAGCATGATATTTTAGTGCTTAAGCCCGCCCCTTTACACAATGGGAATGAAGTAGATGACTGAAAGGGTCTCGACGAGTGGAACAGTTGGTTCAAATCTCAAGTCCGGGATTCAAACAGGAGCCAAGATATTGTGAATTTAAACAAATTAAAAAAGTTTAAGACAAGTTAAAAACTATGGAAGAAATAGCCCTATGAGCACACACACACATGAAATTATAATAACTGGAAAAGCAGATAGAGAGGCATCAAATGAGACAGGTCCGAATGGACCGTGAGGCTCGGGTGCCGAGATATTAACCAAAAAGCTGTAGAGGGAGGGAATGCACAGGGGCGATGCGTCCCAACAGATATGGTATATAACAATAGTTTTTATGATCCCCCAAATATCAGTCCCATAGTATCAAAAAAGTGGCATGTGTGTGTTAAAATATTATACAACGGTGTGCGCGAGCATCGGTGTCGTGACGGTAAGCGCGTTGTAACGTCGTGTATAGCTAACCATCAAAAAATTGTTACAGCCTAATATACAAATAAAAGCATTGTTTATTTGCTAAACAATTTGTTAATGAAGCAATAGAATTCAGTTCATATGCCAAGCCGGTGCAGTCAGTCTATATTCTATTCTCAACGCCACCGGCGTTCATCGTCTTTCCACTCCAATCTCGGACTAAGCCCTTTTCTTTAGCACTCTCTTCCCGTCCGTTCCAACCAGGGCTCTCCTCTCATGCTTTCTCCATCCAGGGCAGGGCTTTTCCCTTTTCTCCATCCAAGGCCGGGCTCCTCTCTCTCTCTCTCGTCTCTTTTTCTTCTTTTTTTCTGAAAAAGAACCCTTTTAAACACCAGGGTGTGTGTTCACAACACGCCCCTCGACCAGTCTTATTGGCAGGTCACAAAAGTCTCTCTCGGCCTCCCTCCTCTTAATTGCGCATAACGCACCAAAACACACCCAGGCCGTCTGGTCCAAAGCGCCATAATTCCTTGTCCAACATCTGGACACACTTGTCCATCACGCCACCTGTTTCTAGTATCCCCTTCTCTCAACACCAGAAAAGACGACATGATTCTTTTAAAACAGGCTTCGCCAATTGTCAATGGGGCACCGGCTCTCCTTTACCATTATGGCGACCCGTCTGGCTGTCGTCACTCCCCGAGTTCAGACAATAAACAATGGCCCCATGGCCACGTGCACTGGTCATTTTAGAGCTGGTGGATCTTAAAAATTCAGGTACAATCGATGGGTGTGAGTTCCCAACAATCGAAGACGTCGTACTTGTCCCTTAACAGCTGGTGAAACTATAAAACTTATCGTGAATCGAAAGATGGGAATTTACAACAATCGACGATGTCACAGCGTGTATCCGTGACGATGTGAGCGCGCATCGTAAAAATTTACTCTCGTCTTTTTTCCCTAACTCCCTAAAAGAAGTATAACTGATATAGTACAGAAGTATTTTTTGAGAATTTCGAAGGTGGGAAAATGATCTGTCCCATTCTGTATATTTCTAGACAAGGCATTTTCGTATCCGTTCCTTCGGAACGCAAAGCAAAGGTTCGCTGCCGCGGAGGTATAGCTTAGTGGTAGAGCATTCGACAGCAGATCGAGAGGTCCCTGGTTCAAACCTGGGTGCCCCTTCTTCATCAGGGAAGTGAAGAGAAACTTTTTTCTGAGATTTTCGAAGGCGGGAATGATCTATCCCATGTTGTATATTTCTAGACGAAGCATTTTCGTATCCCTTTCTACGGAACGCAAAGCAAAGGCTCCCGGACACGGGGTGTATAGCTCAGTGGTAGAGAATTCGTCTGCAAATGGAGAGGTCCTCGGTTCAAACCCTGATATCCCCTTCTTCAGGGAAGTGAAGGAAAATATTTTTTGAGAATTTCGAAGGCGGGACTGATCTGTTTCATTCTGTATATTTCTAGACAAAGCATTTTCGTATCCGTTCCTACGGAACGCAAAGCAAAGGTTCACTGACGCGGGGGTATAGCTCAGTGTTAGAGCATTCGACTGCAGATCGAGAGGACCCCGGTTCAAACTTGGGTGCCTCCTTCTTCAGGGAAGTGAAGAGAGAAATATATTTTTCTAAGAATTTCGGAGGCGGGAATGATCTGTCCCATTCTGTATATTTCTAGACAAAGCATGTTCACATCTGTGACGGTGTGCGCGCGCATTGTAAAAATTTACCCTCATTTTCCCAAACGCCCAATACAAAGTATAACTTCAAAAAGTAAGAAATTTAAGATGAACATATCAAGAAAATCGATTTTGTTTTCTTAGAAAGTCACAATAAGTTATTAGTTTCGCCTTCCCCTCTTTATTTACAGGAGCTGCATGGTCTTTTTTACATCATTTCCGGTATTTTTAAAGGATTTTCAATTAATTCTCTCCTTATTTCTAAATAATAACCACATTATTGAAACAACAAATGTGTGTGTGTTATTTAGATCAGCACAATTAATAGCTTACGGATATGTCACAACAGCATAAAAACCCGAATTACATATCTCCAAAACTTCAAATATCTTGTCAACGCCATAATTTTTAAATAAATTTCTGAAACTCACAGCAAAAAACATTTTTTTTTTACTTTTCAAAGTAAGCTCATGAATTATGATTATCAGTATAAACATAAAGGCAAGTGCTTTAGAGAAAATGCCTTACAACGTAAATATCATTAAAATTTCTTCAAAAACACTATCTTTTGATAGTGAAAACTTTTAATATTAAGTCACTTTTTTAAATAATTCCGGAAACTCTGAAGACTCATGACTACATCAGTTGTTAAAAGTGATAACAAATGAAAATTTTAGGAATATGTTACTTTGCTTCGTGGAAACAAATACCTTTTCAAATACACATTTTTCAAAGAATATGAGCAAATGAAAAATAAATTATCTATTTTTTATTTTGAGATGCGTATCCTGTGCTTTCCTTTGACTCAAGAACATATATCTGTCCTTTTGAAACACAATTCACTTCCTAAGCAAAATTTAATTTTGTTTAAAATCTTAACAAGATTTTAGATAGCAATGTATTCGGATGGAATCAAGTACGAAAAGTTATTTCTGATGATTGTATTTTTTTTATTATTTTCGAGATAGTATATCATGTAGCAAATTGAAAAGTAAAGGAAACTGAAAAGTTGGAAGATGATGAGAAAGAATGATTGGAAATAACAGATTTCTCTACGATACGCCTATGAAGTTTTTAGTGAATTCTAGAATATAAAACATGGATAAGTAGCATTTTGTGAAAAATGGTAAACTTCTAAGGAATGTTCCTTTTTTTCTCAAAAAATTCTAAGAAAAAAACTTATGGATTACTTTTGTATAAATATGCTATGCTTACCAAGTTATTTTTTACTTTCTTATATTTTGTCACTTCGATTCATTGAGAATCGTGTATAAAGGTATTATTAAGAAAAATATAAGCCTTATTAGCGAAATTGGCAGAAGTGAAAAACAATTTCTTTCGACAAATAAGGGGATCTGATTCAGCTTGTTGTAAAAAACTTTTATGCATTAAAAACTAGTAACTTCATCTTGGTGAACCGTATATTTGTATTTGTTAATGAAAAAAAATGTTATCTTCTTCCAAAATATTCTGAGAATATTCGACTAAAAATGTTTGAATAAAAGCCAACCCTGATTTAATATAAATGTTTATTAAAAATACACCTAACATATATGTAACTAAAAAAGAATATAAAAATTTTATGAAATTTTTAGATTTCATAAAAAATGCGAATGGAAATTTGATACAGAATTTCTATTGCCTTTTGATGGCCACGGTAGCCCAGTGGTCATAGTCACAAGCTTGTGGCCAGGGTGTCCTGAGTTCGAACTCTAACTCCGAACTCCAAATAGCCGTGTAGAAAGGCTGATGCACATTAAATTTGTCATAGTTCAAAGTCCTTCTCTTGACGTGGTGTAAAAGTTTTAAGAAGGAAGGTCAGCTCAGGTGTCGTTCTCGTCACTTGATCACGGTTCAAAGTTACGAGGTACGCTGCTAATAGTCCTCGCATTGCTTTATTCTGTGACGTTAATGAGTGAGTGAATATTAACGTCACACCGCTCAGCTACACGAGGGCTTTTTGAGACGGACCTTGTAATTTTGAACAACGGTCAAGTGACGAGGATGACACCTGAGCTGGCACCCCCTCTCCTAACTACCACACCACACCAATGGGAGGACGTTTGAGCTCTCGACAGATTTAACGTACATCGTTCCCTACACGGTGGGTCTTTAGTGGTACTGGGCTCGAACCCATGACATGCCTTCCATGATCCGATACATTGACCACTGGACTACCGCAGCCCCTCTGTGACGTTAATAATTACTCGCTTCCTTACTTTTCGACTGAATGTTAGAATCAACAATAAAGCATCTATTAAATCGATGAGAGTATTTATTGAACTTATATCATATTTAACTATTTAAATTTTGAAATTGTTTACACTTTTTTCTTAATTATTGTAAAAAAGAATATATGTATATATGTATATAATTTACATTTTTGACAATCAACCAATTCAAATTCTACCATATTTGATTGTCATCTCTTTTGATATCTGTCTTTGATGGCTGGTTTAAAAGTTAGCTCAAAAGATGTGTTTATGTATATTCGAATTTTTTAACTTGGTGAATAATTGATTTTCATTGATGTCAAGACGCTTTATTCTCTTGGTAAAAGCTCTGTGAGTAAAGAAATTTTGTTAAATTATTTTTTGAAAAATACTTTTCTTATGTAATTGTTTTAGGATTTTCTACATTTCTTACGTAATTGTTTTGCGATTTTTCTGCATTAAGAGTTTGGGAGAGTTTGTTACATAATAGTAGTGAGTGGTTTTATCATACTCTCTGAGTTTTTACATACTCTGAATTTTTGTTTATTTTATTTTATTTGGTTTTTCCTATCGAGTTGCAAAGGGGGAAGGTTGGCGCCTTCAAACTAGTTTAACACCACTTATTCGGTCCTAAGTCCGAAATTGCTTTCTGACTCGCTAGGTTCTTCTTTTTTGTAGTTTCTTTTTTTATTTCTCTGTAATTTTGATCTTCGTGTTTAGCTTTTATATTTTTATTACGTTATTTATTGTTATGTTCATTATCTATTATTTCTTGTTTTTGATATATAATACAAATTTCTTTCATATATATATATTAAATATATATATATATATATATATATATATATATATATATATATATATATATATATATATATATATATATATAAACACATTTTAAAATAATGTAGAAACTATATGTACTTGTACAGAAATACAAGTAATTTTAACACCCCTCTGAGGCTCAAAAGACGGGCTACTTAAGTTGAAAAGAGTAGAGAATATAGTTTTTACAATATATATAATACAATTTTCTTCATTTCTCAATATAATCATGATTACATTTTGACAAATTTAGTTGTTTGTTAAAGATTGAATTACATGCATACCAGCCTTTACCCATTCGATTCGCTGGATATTGCATAATGTTGTATGACGTTGTGTTATTTTTAAATTATTGATATCTAAATCCTAGAATTATGCTTTTGATTGCATTTAATTTCTAAAACACAAATATATTTATTTTTTACATTCCAATAATTTTCTTCCATTAAAAACTGTTTTTCGCAAAACACATTTTTAGTGAGTCTCTACAAAACAGAAGAAACTTGTTTGTCAAACTTCATGTCTGTAGATCTAATAATTCAAAAACGATAAATTTTTATCTACAGTCCGTCTTTAACCACCCTCCGAAAACAATTGCCCATTTGAGAATTGGTTTCCGAAAAACTCTTTCTTATTGGATCTCTACTCAACAAAAAAGAAACATGTTTGCCAAATTTCAACTCTGTAGATGTAATAGTTCAAAAATGTGAATTTTTGGTATATAATGCCCCCTCAAACATTTTTGAGACTCAATATTCCAAAGAATCGTTCTTAGAAGATCTCTAATCAAGAAAAGAAAAGTCTGTGCCGAATTTCAAATCTGTACGTCAAATATTTTTGATGATCTCGTGATAAGTGTGTGAGGGAGTCACTTTTCTCCTTTATACATATGATTTTATAAATTCTATACAAAATTTTTATAAAAGTGGTAGAAAAAGTCATTGAATAATCTGCAGTGATGTAAAACCTTTATTTTATATTCTATCAAAAGTAACAATATCTTCTTTAAAATTTAGCCATTAATTTGAGGTATATTGCTTCTCCATACTATTGGCTCATACAACAGAAAACTATACTTTCTCTTTTGTAGATATTTCGTCCTATTGGCGTGGAACTAACAATAGCTCTCTCTAGTCCTTCTTGAATGCACCGGCGCCAGACAGTTCATCTTCCCATCTGGACACTTTGTCCACTACGCCGCCATTGTTTCTTGAAGCCATTCTCCCGTCGTACTCCGAGGTGTCAGTCTACTCAGTCAGACAGGCCCCGTCAATTGTCACATGGCGGGGGCCCTTTTATGGCTATTATGACTTCCAGACATACTGTGGTTGCGGACACGAGGCCAAACTATAGACTATGACCCCAAAGCCTCGTGCACTGTCTCCAATCCAAAAGCGAGCCACCTGCTCTAATCTATCAAACTAGACATTAATGGACGGGAGTGGGTCGAATCAATGCGCCGTCGTCACAAAATATATAAATAAATATAGAGAGAGAGTAAGCTAATAGTAGGAATTGAAAAACTAAGGGCAATTTAGGATATGCTTAATAACCACCATTTTATCAATATTTCATGTTTTTTTGTGCTGATATGAAAGAGGTTTAATATTTCGCGGAATCACCCAGTTGCGTTGTTGACATTACGATAAAGTGGGTATAGAGATGGAAAAAAATTAATCACATTTCTTTAAAAATATTATATATGACTGTTATTGGGAAAGAAAAAATATTTAATCCAATCAATAGGCAAAAATTTGAAGTAGACGATTTTTTTTTTGTATTGCATTAACTTTAGCATAATAATTAATAAAATCTTATACGGGTATATGCAGTATATAATACAATCTATTTATTTTTGTTATGAAAGAGAATTTATAT